CTCCCCTTGAAGGAAAAGTTACGAGTCCTTGTGCAACATGTGCGACAAGATCCGGCCGTTGCTGGAGACGGAGCACCGGCAGTTCATGGAAGTCCGCAACTTCATCAGTAAGTAGTTGGCTTGAAGAGGGCAAGAAGTTCATGCCAAGTCAAAGCTGGTGGTGGTGGATTCTGATGGGATCAGTTCCAGCTGCTGGGCTGAGAGAAGGTGCCATTTCTCACCTCAACTAGTGAATGGTTATCTCTGTAAATGAATTCCTCGTTTTCAATGTGTGTTTCCAATATCTAGCATTCACGGCCCATGTATTGTGTCTAAGTCCCCACATGTCATCTTGGGTGATATGGGGCTGTGGCTCAGTGGTAGAGAGCATCTTCTCTGCATGAAGAAGGTCCCAGGTTCAGTCCCTGGCATCTCCAGTTAAAAGGATCAGGTAGGAGATAATGGGAAAGACCTTGACTTGAGACCCCACCTCAGTGGTAGACCATCTGCTTGGCATGCAGAAGGTTCCAGGTTCAATTCTTGGCATCTCCAGTTAAAAAAAGGCTCAGGTAGCTGGTGATACCTACCTAAGGCCCTGGAGAATTGCTCCCCATCATAGGAAACAATACTGACCTTGATGGACCAGCAGAAGGCAGCTTAATTTAGGGAGGCGCCATGGTTCAGTGGTAGAACATTGCACACAGAAGGTCCCAGGTTCAATCCCTGGCATCTCCAGTTAAAAGGACCAGGCAGCTGGTGATGGGAAAGACCTTGATCTGGGACCCTGGCTCAGTGGTAGAGCATCTGCTTGGCATGCAGAAGGTCCCAGGATCAATCCCCGGCATTTCCAATTAAAAGATCAGGGAGTAGGTCATGAGAAAGACCTTAGCCTGAGACCACCAACCAAAGGAGGCAATACTGAGTTTAATAGACCAAGGGTAGAATGCTTCATTCAAGTAGGAGGCCATGGCTCAGTGCTAGAGCATCTGCTTTGCATGCAGGAGGTCCCAGGTTCAATCTCTGGCATTTCCAATTAAAGGATCAGGGAGTAGGTCATGAGAAAGACCTTAGCCTGAGACCACCAACCAAAGGAGGCAATACTGAGTTTAATAGACCAAGGGTAGAATGCTTCATTCAAGTAGGAGGCCATGGCTCAGTGCTAGAGCATCTGCTTTGCATGCAGGAGGTCCCAGGTTCAATCTCCGGCATTTCCAATTAAAGGATCAGGGAGTAGGTCATGAGAAAGACCTTAGCCTGAGACCACTAACCAAAGGAGGCAATACTGAGTTTAATAGACCAAGGG